TCCAGAGTACGAGAGTCCCTCAACGAACCATTTGTGATATGGTTGCTCTTACGGAATCCGGAACTGCCTTCGCGTAACTTGGCCTCGAGTTGCGCCGGAACATCTGCGCATGCCCAAGCTGTGCCTGACCATACGACGAAAGAGTCAGCGGCACCAAGTTGTACTCGAATACCAGAACGAAGAGTCTCGGAAGCTTCTACTGCTTGTATGTAGGACCGTAATGCTGGCGGAATCTCGGGTCCGATCATGAAAGCCGATGTGCTGTCTCTGCGCTCCCAGCCGAAAAACCACGACCCGGGTTTGCTGCCGTACGAAGCCCATGTGATCCTCTTAAAATAACCTGCGCATAATTCTCTGAGTAAGTTGTTTGGTAGACATGTGCTGCGTATAGCGGTCAGCTGGATGTTAACTTAGAGCGATCGTGTTATCCTACGAGGTGTAACCGTTCGGTGTGGCGATAAACTGATCGCTGCCTCGACTCAAGGCTACTATATACTCGTTGGGTGCCAGAGGCTCGAGCCTGTCTAGCATAGCTGCTATGATAACAGTATCGGGCGATATGGAGGACATATCGAACGTGGGAATTGCGCACGGCTACCTGCCCACTACAAGGAGAAATCAAGGACCTGATGTTGGACTTTTTTGGAAGCTGCGCCCAAGTGTTGTGTGTTTACCGATGACGAAGTGGAAGCAAGAGCGTGTTTGCGCCAAGACAGCGCTCACACTGAAGGGCAAGTGCAATTCCTGCATCATCGGTGAAGATGAAAGTGATGAAACGTTGGAACTCCAAAAAGAAAAAGTGAGGATATCAAACCCAGAAGCACACCGTATGCCTGGATTATCAACAGCGCCGTAGCTGGCGTCTGTACTGAGCATGTGATCAAGCTTAGACTTGAAGAGATGGAAGCTCGGTGGCAGTGAAGCGTGGAAAGACGCGCCCTCCGTCTTCATGCTGTATACATCTCCGACAAAGTAAAAATAGGCATACGTCAAGAAGTCAGCTTGTAATGAATTACAAGCACAGAAGTGAGGTCCAAAGAAAGAGGGCTGTGTTGACTCAGAGGTAGACGATCAAGAAGAGAGGACGAATATCACCCGAGCTGGACTTACTATCTGAATCATCTGTGAATGGCTTCAAATCACCAACGTACGAATAGATTGTTCTATGAGTCACAACAAGTTGCGTCGTTCGCGAGTACGTAAACATATGCTGATGTACGACCAAATGGGAGTGAGGTGAGCCGTCGTGACTCACATCAACAAGCATCGCTGAGTTTAACACGATCTAGACCAGTAGCCTCAGCTCAGTACCCATAGTCTCTGAACTCTTCGTGTTGAGGATCTGGGCCAAGACAGAGAGGTGAGGTTTATAGGAATGGCGGTTGATCCATGGATGCGGGACAAAGCACGCTAGTCGGTTAGCGCCAAGCAGCCCACTTCGCCCGCTGAACGTCGATATGCACAAGAGTCACCCGAATTTCGAGACGCCGCCCGCCACATATAAGCCGTCACACCACCCCACCTCCACATACATATCGCAAACATGAGGCCCATTCTTCTCTCGGGACACGAGCGTGCGCTCACGCAAGTCAAGGTACGCATGCGCAAGGCGTAGCGGAATGGGAGGGAGAAAACTGACAATAGACAGTACAATGCTGATGGAGACATCATTTTCTCCGTATCGAAGGTACGGGCTTCTCCCAGTTTTCTGATATGTGGAAGCTGATTTTTGCAGGACCACGTCGTTTGCGCCTGGTACTCACACAACGGCGAGCGGATAGGCACATACCACGGACATCAGGGAGCGCTATGGACCGTCGACGTAAACCCATCTTCCGAGCTGCTAGCCACCGGTGGCGCAGACAACACCATGAGGCTATGGCATGTGCAGACCGGCAAGCTTCTCCACACCTGGGAATTCAACACCAGTATCAAGCGCTGCGAATTCTCTCCAGACGGCAGGCAGCTACTCGGTGTCACTGAGAAGCGCTCAGGACATCTTTCGACCATCTGCGTCTACCCCATCAACCCCGACCCAGAAGCGCAACAATCGGATGAGCAGCTGCTCAGGATCGTATGCGACGAGTCCAAGGCGACGGTTGCTGGTTTCTCGTATCTCGCGAAATACATCATCAGTGGACACGAGGACGGCTCGATAACTCAGTGGGATGGCAAGACTGGAGAGCTGCTCAGCTCTAACTACGATGTTCATGAGCCAGACATGCAAATCAGTGAGTGCCTCGAACAAAACCCAGGTTATAACAGAACTAACAAAATGAAGCCGATATTCAGTGGGCTCCCGACCGAACATACTTCATAACTGCCAGCAAGGACAAGACCGCAAAGCTTGTTGACGTCGAAGAGCTCAACGTGCTCAAGTCATACGTTGCCGACACGCCCCTCAACTCCGCGGCGATCACTCCGGTAAAGGACTATGTTATTCTTGGTGGAGGACAAGCGGCTATGGACGTCACAACCACATCTGCGCGCCAAGGAAAGTTCGAGGCCCGTTTCTACCACAAGATCTTCATGGAGGAAATCGGTCGTGTGCGTGGTCACTTTGGTCCCCTCAACTATGTCGCCGTACACCCACAAGGCACCAGCTACTGCAGTGGAGGAGAGGACGGTTACGTGCGCGTGCACCACTTCGACAAGCCATACTTTGACTTCATGTACGAGGTTGAGCGGGAGGTCGCGCAGCAGTCGAACTTGTAATGATATGACCTCATGAAGAATGGTTGATATGGTTCGATTTGGCTGTATGCATGCAATGGCGTTCCGGCGGTCGGGTTGGGTGCTTGTCAAAATTAGACGAGCCTTTGTCAAAAGTTCATGAGCGAGCAGGGCACATATAGACACTTTATCTCAGCGTCCGAGCACCATGTACCTCAACAATGAAAACTTCACTAGCAAGCTTGTGAGCGCATGTTCAAGATGATTTATATATGTCCCGCCCCAAGCACCAGCGCCTGTCCACGAATGGAGCAGACACCCAAGCATTAGGTCAATAGTACAAGCAAAGGGCTTGAAACGGGTTTGTGGCTGATCTTCCTGCTTTTGACAAACGAGTCCATCATCGAGAAGGAAGGACGACGTATACTGAAGAGGTTTTTGCTATAGAATAAGCGCAAAGGGAGAACACAGCGCGCCGATCGCGTTGTCGCGTGCTTGATCGAGCGTGATGTAAGACGCGCACATGAATATTTTCTTCAACTCCTTATCAGATCCAGACACGATGGATGGCTCCAGTATATTAAAGCCGGCTTCCATGAGCTATGAGGCACAATGAGTAAGCCCGTAACAGCAGTCATCGCGAAGGTTGATGGTTGGGTGAAGTGAAAGAAGGGCGGAAGAAGGGCTGCAGCCTCAGCGAACGTGGAAGCTTCGAGAGACCCTGCCCTAAGCGAGGTTAGCGCGTGTGGCGGTGACCTCACCTGTCGCTCCGACTCATCGCGGCCTTGCATCGCTCTTTGGGCCTCTACATAAGCAAAAGCTCAATCTTCTTTACTCCATTGCTCTTCACATCCAACCCACCTTCCATCACACACACACATTCGCCGATTGACAAATTCGTCGACGAACAAACACCGACTTCATCAGCACAACACCCCACATCTGCGCCCAACTCAGCCTTCCGCACACAATAACCACAACTTCATCCCCTCTATCCCTTAATACCACTTTCAAGATGTCTGACGACTGGAACTCTGTTACCAAGATCGGCAGCCGCACTCGCGGTGGCGCCGCTGGACCTCGCGAGACCGTAGTCAAGGGCAAGTCGGCTTTGAACGCGGCCCAACGCAGCGGCGGCATCGTCGCCACAGAGAAGAAGTTCGCTTCAGCCAACGCCGTGAGTACTCCTGACACGTCTACTTAGCCTAAACCACTTTGTTCTTCGTGATACCCCATCAGTTCACTCAAAACAATGCTAACGGACCAGCCACAGGGAGCTTCATCAGAAGGCCAACGCCTCACCAAAGTCGACCGTTCAGACGATATCGTCAAGCCCAAGACCGTTGGCACCGTTGTTGGCCAGGCCATCTCCAAGGCGCGCTCCGAGGCAAAGAACGACAAGGGCACTACCATGACGCAGAAGGATTTGGCTACAAAGTGCAACAGCACACCCACAATCATTGCGGACTTTGAGCGCGGTACTGCGACACCAGACCAGAAGCTCCTAGGAAACATGGAGCGCGTGCTCAACGTCATCCTACGGGGCGACAAGATTGGGCAGCCCAAATTCCCCAAGAAGAAATGAGCGGATTATTGCCAAGGTCACAGGCTAGCCGCAGATATACGGTCAGGCTCTGACGCTGCAATCTTTTGCGCTTCAAAAGTCAGCTTTGGCTGCAATAAATCTCTTCTGGATTAGCGGGCTTGGGATGGGCGTTTGGTGGACATCACGGCAGAATACCACAATGGTGAACAGCGTGCGATAGCTACGGCTTAGCCTTTATCGCGCGCCTTTGCAGCTTGGTCTCATTGAGCAGCTGTATAAGCTAGATAAAATCAACGATTCATGAGCAAATATTGCAACTGTGTACAAACTACGCCCTTGACGTCATCGAAGCCATCTGGCATACAGTCCCTTAATCGATCTAGATATACCCTTCGTACACAACAAGCAAATCCCGATCTATTTAATGTGATGCTGAGCAGATTTAGAAGCAACATCATGCTTGTACGTGTCGCGCCTTGATTTCGTGATTGGCTCTTGCACGCTAGCGACTCACCGTCAGCCCGCATTCACAACGCATCCTCTCTGCAAACCACACCAACCATGATATCCTAACTTCTTCCTATACTATGATCGTGCCCTCTTATCAATCCAAAACAAGAATCTTTGGTTTCGGCATTCCCATGTAAATCATGCCTTCAATTCCAGCCCTACTACCCAGGCGCTTTCTATATTCACCCTGCACCCAGTGTATTTGCGCTAATGTTCTGCCAGACCCATCCTTCTCGTCTCTACCGTAATCGTCTTCTTGCTTTACTTCAGCATGAGTACTTCGAATCACTCGTCCGTGGTGCCTGCCCCGGCTGAACCGGAACTGGATTACCACTTCAAGTATACCGTGCAAAAGGGCTTCTTCGCTCAGAATGAGAATGAAACTGATGACACGACTTTTGATTTTGTATGTTCGTGCCTTCTTCCTCCATGTCTTGACACATCTCATAACATCTCCAAACGCCATTCCGTCTTGGCTTGCAAGGTGGCTGACTAACGCATCCAATAGAAGGCACAAAATTTTGGATTAATCAATCGTTCTTATCCTGGAGAGATCAACAGTGAAGACCGACAGTGGAGGCGCTTTGAGACATATGTGACCGGTCTGGAGGCAGCGAAGAAAGAGGGCGAGAGTTACAAAGTCCTCTTTCTGGGTCGTCATGGTCAAGGATGGCACAATGTCGCAGAGGCGAAGTACGGAACGAAGGCTTGGGATGTATGTTCCTCTTACTCCTCTACCACTTGTTACATCCCATCTCACCTCATATCAAACTCCTTCCAAATCGGGCCATCTGTCGAAAGGCGTAGATTACGGCTTCACTCCTACTCTCTCACCCATGTTGTTTTTCACTCTTTTGCTGTACCGTTCTCTCGCTCTCAACTTCGTCTTGTAAAGGTCGCTGTCGAAGAGCCATGTTGCTGACATGAATAAAGTGTTACTACGCCGCCCTCGACGGCTACGACGGCATAACCTGGGCAGATGCCAACCTGACCTCTACAGGTCAAGATCAAGCTCTTGCTGTAAACAAGCTATGGACTGAACAACTTCCCCTTGGGATCCCGTCTCCACAGACTTATTACGTTTCCCCCTTGACCCGCACGATCGAAACAGCAAATCTGACGTTTGGAGGCCTCCTTCTCCCGTCATCTCAGCCCTACGCGCCCTACATAAAGGAACTCGTTCGTGAGGCCCTTGGCGTACATACCTGTGATCGCCGCAGCACAGCAACTCACCTCAAAAACACCTTCACCGACCCGAAATTGACGTTCGAACCTGGATTCTCAGACGAAGATCCTCTTTGGGAAGCTGAGTACCGTGAACCGCGGGCCGCAAGACGGTACCGACTGGCCACATTCCTGGACGACGTCTTCGCTTCGGACAAGAACGTGTGGTTGAGTGTAACCAGCCATTCTGGAGCAATTAGAAGTATGCTCGAGGCATTTGGTCACAGGATGTTTGCGCTGGAGACCGGAGGTGTGATACCCGTTTTTGTCAAGGCGGAGAAAGTGCAGGGAAAGAGACAGGCTCCGCCCAAGGAACCTAGCGACGCTCCGCCGCTGTGTGATGGGCCACCCAAATGAGGACAAGGAAGCAGAGAAGGCATATATTGAGAGCGGAAATCTGCTATCTCACTTGTCCGGCAGGATATAGTTGCAATACAAACCGTCATCACCCTATCTGTGCATTTTCTTCTCACTGTTGTTTAGCAACCCAACATCAAGATCAAGAAGGTAGGGAACAGGAAGTTTGTTTAACGTTCATTATTATTCATAGCTATTTAATAGGCTTCAAGAAGGCAACACCACCGCTCTTGTCGCTGTTTAAGCCCTCTTACCAAAGACCTTGTCGAAGCCAGTAAGTGTGAGCCTGTACTTGACGTTGTCGTTCTTGTAGACACGCTCGACTGCCTCTTTGCAGCCCTCCTCGCTAAGCTGGATTTCTTGTACCCAGGACTTGATGTTCTGCTTGGACGCGAGCTCGAACATCTCCTCCATCTCGGGCCTGTTACCAATGTGAGAAGCACCCATGTAGCAGCCGTTAGGTGCGAAGACCTGGGCGGGCATAGCGGGGAGCGGGTTGTCAGGGAAGCCGACCATGTGGAAGGTTCCGTTAACCTTGAGAATGGAGAAGTATTCTGAGAGATCGAACTTGTCGGTTGCATCTGCGGTGTTGATGACAAAGTCGAACTGGAACTTCCAGGGCTCAGCCCAACCCTTCTCCTTGGTGACGATGAAGTCTTTGGCACCCATCTTCAACGCATCCTCCTTCTTGTTGGGAGAGTGCGAGATGACATAGGTGTCAGCGCCCATAGCTACTGACCAGAGGACACCGAAGTGACCGAGACCTCCCAGTCCGATGATACCGACCTTCTTGCCGGGGCCAGCCCCTAACCTCTTCAAGGGCGAGTATGTGGTAAGACCAGCGCACAGCATGGGCGCGGCGAGGGCAGTGTCGAGGTTGTCCGGGATCTTGAAGACAAAGTATTCGTGGCCACGGATATGGCTAGAGTATCCACCCTGTGCGACTGTGCCGTCGGTGTGCTTGGCACCGTATGTGTCGACTTGATTGGGGCAGTAGTTCTCCTGGTCGTTCTTGCATTGGTCGCAGGTGAGATCGGCACCGATCTGAGCACCAATACCGGCGCGGTCTCCGACCTTGACGCGAGTGACCTTGTCACCAACCTTGACAACCTTGCCGATAACCTCGTGTCCTACGCAAAGAGGAAGAGGAAGCTCCTCTCCCCATCCTCCAGTGATGGTGTGGACATCTGAAGCGCAGACACCGCAGGCGTCAATGGCAATGTCGACGTCGTACTCCTCAAACTTCTTGAGAGGTAGCTGTAGGATTGTTAGAACAGCAATGGGCTAGTCAATTGGCTTGTTTACTGACCTCCTGACGCTTGAACGTGCTCCAGTTCTTGATGTCAGTCACCGCGAAGGCGTCGGTAGTCTCTGGGTAAGGCATTTTTGTGTGTGGTTGTGTTTTGAGGTATGTGATTTGGTGTTGGGGAGTTATGAGAGACAATGGAGGGGTAAGTGTTGAGGGGCATGCACACGTATTTCAAGCATCGGTCAATCTCCTGCCAGCTGGTAGAGTCGGCCCATCGCATTTCGCGCAGTGAGGTCATAACAGTGGACGGGAACTAGAAGGTCCCCGCCATTGAGGCTCCTGGCGCCCCCTGATTGGGCAGACACCCAGCCACGAGCGCGTTGTCTGTTGAGGCGCGCAGCTGTACCTTTTTCTGACCGTCACAGACGCGTCAATGATCGTGTTTTTAACCGTTGCATCGGCGTTCTGCCAACGGTGTCGAGGGCTAGGCCCTGAACCATGCCATGTCGCAGTCCCTAACTCACACTATACGTTCGGTCTTTCCGATCGTGCCGAATCGTAGTGGGGTTCGTCATCGCATGTAGATAGCTTCAGCGGTATTTGTCGTCGACAATTCTCTTGCAAAAATGTCGTAGGTAGACACCGGCGAATCAGTCCAGAGGAACGATGACAGATTGTCTTTCCGAGCTCGTTTCGATCGGGCAAGGTGCGACAGTAGCTGATCCGAGTGCCGAGTTGCCGACGTCATCTTCAAGACCTTCATTACATCCCCAGCCTCTTTCATCAACGTACAGAACTTGCAGTCTCGTTTGTCTTCTTTCCTCTTTCCTTCTCTCTGAAAATGGTTTGATGGTAGCGCTGACAAACGTTGCTGGAAGATGGGTCGGACAATCTGCGAGTACGAAAGAGGCTAGATAAAGCAGTAACGAACCGTGCAAAATGCATAATAGCACGCGGTTGTCGTACATTAGCATGCGCACAAGTCGATGTGATGTACATCTGCTTTTCCAAAACTCACTCTTCCACGCTAGAACCTCCTGCGCTTTCAAGCCTCCGCCCAAATCCCTTCTTATCCGGTACCCCGCATTCGTCAATGCGGGGTGATTGGCTAGAGGCTTACCCGTTTGGGCATTCCGTGATCGAGACGAGCACGCGTGAAGAGGCGCTTTGCCAGTAGAAGGTGAGCGGAAGGTGATAGACTGACGGAATCCGGGAGAATGAGCGCGAGGTCAGTTTGCCAACCATGGCATGAGCGATACCGCCGCGCCACGTTCTACTATTTCTCCGCCTCTTCAGCCTCTCCTCCATCGTCCCTGGTCACACTGAACTTGACTCCTCTGATAATACCGCACAAATTGAAGCACAATGGCCTCTCCGGCGGCTGAAGGTACTATGAACGCGCTTCGATTCCACGGTCAGAAGGACTTGCGATACGAGAAAATTCCGATACCACAAGTCAAAGCAGGACAAGTCAAAGTAAAACCAGCATGGGTAGGAATTTGCGGATCAGGTATGAACCCAGATGTGAAAGTTGAAGCACTGAGACTGACCTTAATTTATACCTCCACGAATACCTGGGTATGTACATGAATGACGAACATGCGCTCCATAACTGAGTACCTAGGTGGCGCGAATCTCTGCCCTACTACGCCCCATCCAATCACCGGTGAAACGGTTCCACTTACCTTCGGGCATGAGTTCAGCGGCACAGTGGAAGAGGTTGGTGATGGTGTGACTGACTACAAGCCCGGAGACAGGGTCGTCATCCAGCCTATCATCTACGATGACACCTGCGGCGCATGCGAGGAAGGTCTGCAGAACTGCTGTTGGTCTAATGGCTTTATTGGCCTGTCGGGTTGGGGCGGTGGTCTTGCAGACCACATTGTTGTCCCAACTTCTACCCTTTATCATCTCCCTGATAACGTACCACTTGAGATCGGCGCCCTCGTCGAGCCTCTCGCTGTTGGCTGGCATGCTGTCAAGATCAGTCCCTTCAAGAAAGGCGAGGTTGCATTAGTCTTAGGCGGTGGACCTATCGGTATCTCGACGATACTAGCACTGAAGGCGAACGGGTGCGATAGGATCATTGTTTCTGAAGTAAGCAGAAAGAGGCAAGAGTTCGCAAGGAAGTTCGGAGCGCACTACATCATCGACCCAACCAAAGAAGACCTTGCAAAACGCTGTCGCGAGCTCACTGGAGGCAAAGGTGTGCACGTAGTCTACGATTGTGCTGGTGTCCAGGCGGCTCTCAATCAGGCTGTCCACGCTACCCGTGCCCGGGGTTGCATCGTAAACATCGCCATATGGGAAAAGCCTTGCACTATTTTCACCAACGACTTCAACTTCAAGGAGCGGACATATATGGGTATCGCAACTTATGAGATTGGCGACTTCCAGGAAGTCATAGACGCGCTGAGTAGAGGGGACATGGATCCGAAAGAGATGATCACACAGAGAATTGGCTTGACCGAGGTCGAAGAGAAGGGCTTCAAGAGTTTGATTAATGACAAGGACAACCAGGTCAAGATCTTGGTAGAGGTCGGTGGAGGTTCGTAGTGGTATCGATTACTACAGGTTCTCATATCATGTGATGGCTACCGCACTGTTGGAGGACTGGCCGGTACTATCTGCCTAGGGCATCGAATTAATCATGGCAAACCCCTCTTCCTTATCAATCTTCTTGTCCTTGATTACGTCCATCGGAACTTTCTGGATCCGCGCAAACCATCGCAAACACGATACATCAGCAGACATGTGAACAAGATTGATATATCGCATGTAGTGTTTTCGATAGACCTGGCACGCGTGTGTTACGTGTTGAACTAACAGCAAGCTGCACCACTCTATCTAGGAAGAAAAAATTATAGCAGTAGAGAATGTCGTCAGGTCCCCCCCGTTGCCGTTGCCAGCTATGTCTATCGAGGATCCCCGCCGCACTCAGCGGTGTCGAAAACAGCTCCTTGTTTAACAAGTGATCATGTACGAGTTCTTAGGACTAAACTCGTCACACACACCAATCTTCTGGTGCACCTCTGGGGTCTCGCTCTCAGAGCAGTCAGAAGAGGTGAAAAGGTTGACTGCCAACAGCACATTAGCTTGTTATACTCCCGTGTAAAACGAGGGGCAAGATTGAACCCTACCTTTACAGCTGGGGTTTGCGACGGCGGTGATGACCAGACTTTTGTTGCCGTCGAAGATTCTAATGCACCTGTTGGCGGGCAGGTTTTCGAGTCGTTCAATCAAGCATCCGGATGCAGTACTGCAAGCAGAGCATGTCGATATCGTAAACGACAGGGTATCTGCGGCAGTGCTAGATGCAATGAATGCCGAGATGATCGCAAGAGCAGTAGTAGAGAACTGCATGTTGGAGAAGCTGGATGGTGTAGAAAGTCCGGTGTTGTTGAGATAAGAGAGGTGGCTACGAGAGATGTGTCTACCCCGGATGCAATGTCGTCGAATCTTATATGGGAAAGTTCCGTCGAAGAAAGGACCTTCGCAGTTTTTCCAACTCATATCGTCTTACTGGTATTGCTGGACTGTGACTACGCTGACGTCTGCGATCAATGCGGCTCGTGAACGAAGAACGCGTAAGCACACCCTGTTTGACCGTGATACCTCTTAAGCGACCCGTGCCAACATCAAGAAAGAAGTTGGTGACTATTTGTGCTATGCAAGTATTGGCCACAAGGTAGGCCGGGCTAGTCAATGTTACATGGGCGTAATTACAGTAAGCACACATGAGCAGCAATCCACTGATCCGGATTCTGATTCGTATTCCAGACATACAACAAACAATCATCGTTATGATGAGCTTCAAACATTCGACTTCACTCCCGCGCTTATTCCACAGCCCAACTTGTGAAGGAGGGAATGTCTGCTATACCCAGGACCAGTGTAATAAGGGATGTGACGCAAAGAAAACCAAAAACACCACCATAAGCACTTGGACAACGATTGGAACTAATGATACTCAGATGACTAGTTGTTTACTGACCGACTGATATCTTATAAGGTCTATCAGAGCAAATTATGTGTGTAATAGCATGTCGAGAGATCCATTGTGGGCTACAGTATATGGGAAACCTCGATTCATAATCTACATAACTCTGGAGACTGCAAGCTGACTACTAGTGAGACGCTGACAGTCATCGTGAAAGTGTCGCAGAAAATTATGCGGAGCCTGGTGCGACCCGGTAGGCATAAGGGTTATCTCCGTCACGATCCGAGACAAAAGTTAGAAAGCGTCCTCTGTCTTGGCCAAGTAGGCCAAAAGAGGTTTTACAAAAGTCTTCTCTCTCATTCATTGAACGAACAACGAGCGGTGCTTTGAGGTATTACCGCGAATGATATCACACGGTGTCAAGAGAGAAGACTTTGATTTACTATGGACTACAACGACCAAGAGCAAATACGTTTAGTTTAGAATTTGCGTGGCTCGAGTCAAGCAATACGCCTTTGAGGTAGGCATGTAGATGTTAAAGGTTGATTGCGAGGTGTTGTCCGGGTGCGAGGCTAGAAATGGGGCTGATACAGACTAGCCTGACCGGGTCTGGATAAAAGGGGGCATACTAAGACCCTATGTTGCAAGTGTGTCCTCATTTCTCCACTAACAATGCGGGTCTCGTGCGGTCTTCGAACACTAAGGCAATTACAGAGAGCAACACCTTTGACTGATACAACTCAAGACATCATCTAATTAGACTCATGAATTAGCACATTCTTTGACCACGGACACCTTTGATTAAGCAAAATCTGATAGAGCGAATGCGAAGAGGTTCCACCCGGGTTATGTGTTGAACTAACAACGAATAGAGTCATCCCTCCAAATTCTGAAAATCGATGTGTAAATGCAGTAACGACTGTGTTCCAAAGGTCTCGTCCATTTGCCGTTGCCAGCACCATCTATCTCCTGTCCGAATGTCTCCCTGTAGGTTTGCAGACCCCATCATGACCCCTTAGGAGCAGATGACTTTGTACGCAGCGCGAGCGCCGAACACAATAGGTCTGCAAACATTCGAGCCTACAAAGCCAAATATTTGATCACCGTCACCCTCGCACTTGGAGTTGCCATAGAGGAAAACTATAACGATGGTCAGCAGTGGCGTCGTGGTACGATAGGAATAGCATGTTATTGGAAAGTATTCGAAGGCAGGTGATCACTTACGCGTGCATCCGGGTTTGGCGAAGTCCACGACAAGACTGCCTTGGTTGGTCAAGGGGGGGTTTGTGGTGCAAAGGTCGCTTTGCTTGATCTGGTGATCGGTTCTAGCACAAGGGCCATTGACCGTATCAGCTGGAGACGCGCAATTGTTGCAAGCCCAGGTCGTAAAAGACAGTGGGTTTTCAACAGCAAGCGCACCAGTTACAAGGGCGAGGCTAGATAAGAGGGTAAGAGTGAGCTGCATTTTGGAATTGATTCGAGACTGTTCTAGAACTGCTGATTGTTGAGTTGTGCTGGAAAGAGTTATGTGAAGGCGTGCTCTTCCAAAGTGGGTTTCTGGACAACTTTATACAAATCGACATTGCTCATGCTAGCACACAACGATAGATTCGAGTCAACTCTTCTTACTACAACGGATGGTGGTGACGAACGGCTACCAACACTTACCAACACTTCTGGGGTCACGACCGGTGAGCATGAGTACGAGCCCACGCCCCGTGAAAATGTTCATACTTCTTTAGTAAACCTTGAATGAAAGGCTTGGGTCTGGAGACCTTCTCGAGGAATCAGTGTTGCCGAAAGGTTCAGCCCGCACACATGATGGTCGTACGGGCGTTGACGCAGTAAGCGCTTTCGATCGACACTTACGGCAAGCTCCACATCTAACCCATAGAACCACATAAGAAATCCCCCGTTATGCGAGACCATTTGCTTCAATGTCTTCTTCGAGACCAATGTATCCATTGGTTTGGCTATAATATGAGAGGATATTGTGATGGATGCAGAGGTCGACGTTACGTTGAGGCGTTGTGACCAACACATATGGCCACTTGAATGACCTCAGCAATGTTGGAGCTAATCGTATCGGTGAGTTGTAGAGAATTATGATCTGTGCGTAGCTAGGACGCTTCCCATAGGTCTCGGTGGATGACTCGTTAAAATTCGTGAAGACCATCACTCGCAACAGTTGTTGAGTGCCGCGATATTCAAGCGAACCGAAACTCTGAATAAATGATTGCAGGAGTACGAAAGGGCATGTTCCACCGCATGCTCGATCATTAAGCCGCAACACTTCCAAGGTTGCACCTACTTAAGAAGTTTCATGTGTTCAGATAGCTTTTACAAGACGGGCGAAGATGACAAGGCGAGTGAAAGATCCAAGAGTCCGGTATTCATCATGTGTTGAACGGACGGTATCTCATGTCCGAGTTTTCTTAATTGAGTAACATAAGGAGCCAGTTAATGGAGAATTCTCGCACTGTACGCTAAGCTACAATATCCTTCTCGTCGCTTCTCACGCTATGTCTCTAGCGTATAATCTTGTAGCCTCTCTTGAACACTGGCACTGGGTCACAAGCTGGTGGGTCGCTCAACGTTTATAGTGCCCCAGCCTCTTTAGAGCAATCTACCAAATTAGAAAGTTGTACTGTGTGTCTTGTCAACCACCTGGAATAGCTACCGCTGTGACTTGGAGACTTGCTTGTCCTTGCTCGAGTGAAAAACACGTTTCTGACACGATATTGTCGTGTGGCCACGAGAGACAGGGGCTGTTGGCTGCGCAGTCAGAGCACAGCCATGATGCGAAAGATCCTGCATCTGGAAAGGGATCATGGCTGGTGAGACTGACGGGGGATTGGAGAGTGGTTGCTGCCAATGTCAATACAACAAGGAATAGCTGCATGGTTGAACCTGATGCTAAGTAAGAGTAAGATTGCCAATGGTACAAGCACAACGGGATGACTGAGAAAAGGGATTTGGCGGTGGTTTATATTTTTGGCTTTTCGGTACCCAAACGTACAGTGCCAGGCATCAAGTCGTTAGTTCAGAAGACTTCTTGGTAACTCCAAGACACCCGTAGGTATCTTGACTGAAACCAATGCCTGCCTTCAAACATTATGGTTACTTCTTCTCACCTAATCCTTGGGTGGTAGCAGATGTAGCTTGGCCACGGCCTCCTCATGACACATCAAAACAACCCGTGGGTCTCATCAAGGTAAGCGCTTGCTAGACATAGCAAACAGGGAATGTAAGAACAGTTTTCTGTGGTCATGTTGTCCACTCCAGGAAATTTCAAGAACGCCATATGGTCGTCGCTGTGAGTAGAGGTAAATCATGAGCAATATATGCGGTAGTTTGGTGTCTAACGAGAAGATGCTTTGGGTTTCGCAAAGTAGGTCTATACGTGTCACGTAAGTTCAAACGTCATCACAGCGAGAACATTGTTGCTTCTTGAGCCAAGAACATCCATAAAAGTGATCCAATGAATTCCAATACAGTCTAGTCCACACCATATGTTGGATACAGCAGACGGACTAAACTGGATCTAGTATATAAGAAGCGAAAGGGTGTTGTAAAGACCGTCATCCGGATTTATCCTCCCATTCATGCATGCTGTTGCCAGCTAATTCTTGTCTAATCTTAGTTCGTCGTTCTGTCTCTCTGAAATGACTTTTCGGAGTTCACGAAGAGTTTGTGATCCGCTTAGGAGCAGATGGCCTTGTACGAGAACTTTGTCGACACATCAATGCAACCGCTGGGAACGGTGGTAATGGTATCAGTCGGTGTACCACTGCAGTCGCCAGCGGTGTAAAACTCAACTTCAGTGGTCAGATTGATTAGCAGTGATTACAATAACGATTTTGGTTTTCGCAAGAGTGCTTACGGCGGCAGTTGGCACGTGTCTTCTCCAGATAGTAGATGCGGGCGCTCAGCTGGGGCAGGAACGTGCATGTGTTGCTGTTGATGTTCTGGACCTGGTTGGCTGGAGGCGCACAGTCGGCGTTGGCATAGGTCTCGACTGGGGAGTGGATGTTAGTGGACATGTACTCTGCTTTGGTTTCAAGGAAGCATACATGAGGCTACGTTCTCAAGCTGAATTTGAGCAACGGCAACTGAGGCCATGATGGCGGCAACGATAGTGGAAGTGAACTGCATCTTGAAGATTGGAGTTGAGAAGTTGATTTGGTGGGATAAAATATATTGAAGATAACGATGTGGTAGAAGCTGTTGTCTTGGTTGTTCCTACAATCCCGTCCTTCTTTGGGGTCTTTATACCCTCATTCTCTAGCGTTCCCGGCCTTCGCCGCTGTCTCCTCGCATTCGAAGCTCTTGACAAAGCTTATCGTGGCTTGTTGAAGTGTAGAGAATACGAAGCTGTCTCATCATCATGTCTGATGGGCTTGATCTTTGACTGGCTGGACTCGACCAGAATATGCCTCGTCGTGGGATGTCATCCGAAAAGGTGGAGTTTGATGATTGTATAAGGAAGTTTGCTCGTGCACCTGACGCCGTGGCTTTGAACTTATAAGCAGGATGTCCACTGGCGCGATTGCTGAGCGTGGCAATGTGGCTGACAACAGGAACACGGCGACCTTCGGGCCGCAGCTGCAGCTGCAGCTGCAGAGTCCGGCCCGCAAGGAAGTCCCTCTCTCCAAAGAATGGATGCATTAGCGGACCGTGGCTGACCGGGGTCATTCATGAGATGAAGGCCTGTGTTTGGGCAAAATCACTACATACGTCATCTCGGTACTGGATTGAGCATTGCGCGTAAAACGTCGTTCATCATCTGCTCGTTTTCTTTGGTGAATCTGTGAGATAGTGACCTCGTGCGCGTGGCTAAAAGCTTTCAACGTCGACACGTGATGTGTAGTGTTCCTCGACACCACGCGCATGTGCGAACTGCAATGCAATGCAGCCGGTAAGAAAACGTGCACGGATAATACACTGTGTTGGTGCGGAAACGACACGAGCATATGCACCAATGAGACGGAAGGACCCAGTTGACATGACTGGCCAAAAGGCTTGTGCAAACGACTGTTGGATTGATATCCTGGAGCAAGAGAGCATAAGCAACAGCGCATGCTCCATCTCGGCATAGATCCAGCTTTGAGGCCACCGGCTCAAAGTCTATATCGGAAAATCCTGTGAGGTCACAAAGTCCTCCCCTGCGCCATAGCAATCCTCTGCTGTATCCTGGTCGTGTCTTTCGTAACTTTTCAATGGTACGTGTGTATCATCATCGTCTATAGCACAAAACAAAATTCCGTATGTACTTATAGCAGCATAAGCATGCGCTCATACCCTTGAGCGGCTGCTCAATTGAAATCGTTCATGTTGTGTAAGCTGATGTCCTGGCTACTGGTAACGCGTCGCTCTTCCCCGTTACCGTTAGCCAGGGCGTCACTCGTGGAAGTCTGGCTGACACCGTTGGTCGGCTGCCAATCGGGTTCACCATTCCCATCCGATGGAATAACGTTGCCATGTTGGTCAACCTCCTATTGTCATTTGTGTTAGTCACAGTGGGTCTTCTCAGGTGATCATCTCAAATTTTCAACTTACAACACCTTTGGCAGCCATGCGCACCTGCTGGGGATTGGCTGTACCATGTACGACAGCCTCGCGTGCCTTCTCCATGACCTTCTGTTTGCGGCTCTCCCCACGTATTCTCTCGAGATGCTCGAAGTAGCCAGCGTCAACCGGAGTGACGTATTTCCCGCAGAAGACACCAACCTCGAACTTTTGGTTCGCAGGATCCCGAGGAGAAAGGCGTGCGCAAGCACTCTGTAGGTCCTCGAGGTTCTGGTAAACGACATCATCAGCACCGATGTGCTTAGCAATCGCTGCTGAGTCGCGGTGGTGAGCAATAAGCTCCGAGGACGAGGCAAGATCGATACCATAGATATGGGCGTTGGTGATAGGTGGCGCACATGAGGTAAAGTATACCTTCTTAGCACCCGCTTCCCTCGCCATCAGAACGATTTCGCGCGAGGTAGTACCCCTGACAATAGAGTCATCTACTAGTAACACATTCTTGCCTTCGAACTTCTTCTTCATAGGATTCAGCTTCGCTCGGACACCCTTCTGTCGCAGTTGTTGTGATGGCATAATGAATGTGCGGAAGATGTAACGGTTCTTCACGAACCCTTGTACGTATGGTTTCTCAAGAGCTTCAGCAACGCACAGAGCAGAAGTGATGGAAGTCTCGGGGATTGGCATAACCACGTCAATCTCGGCCATGGTCTCGGGTCCCAACTGCTTCTTGATAGTCTCTGCAAGGGTGAAGCCCATGTTGCGTCGACTCTCGTCGACATCGATACCATCGATAACTGAGTCCGGACGGGCGAAGTAAACGTACTCGAAGATATCCGGGGTGTATGCTTCTTGTTTGGCGACTTGCCTGAAGACAGGCTCCTTGCCCTTCTCGATGATGACGGCTTGGCCGGGAAGGATATCAAAGAAGTCTTTGTAGCCACACTGAACCAGCGCTACGCTTTCGGATGCCATCATGTAGTCCATGCTCTTGCCGTCTTGCGACTTACGAGAACCTAGTACCATGGGGCGGATACCGTACGGGTCGCGGAAACCGATGAGACCGAAACCTGGGACGATGGTCAGTACCTATACAGTCACGATGTTCGGCATCTCGTTGACGTACCAGCAAGCATGGCAGTGCAGGCCCATCCACCGGTACACAACTTGTACATCCTCTCCAACGCCTTGAAGCAATCATCGGCGTTGATACGCGCCTTGCCTGTCTCGTTGAGCTCATCGGCGAAGATGTTGAGCATGAGCTCGCTATCACTCTCGGTGTTGATGTGCCTGTGAGCCTCGTGGTCCAGTCGCTGGCGCAGCGCGGGGGCGTTGATGAGGTTGCCGTTGTGGGTCATGCAGATACCGTACGGGCTGTTGACGTAGAAGGGCTGAGCTTCAGCGTTCGCGCTGCTACCGGCAGTGGGGTATCGCAGGTGGCCGAGGCCCATGAAGCCGGGAAGGTCGGACACACGGGCGCCGTCTTGGAAGACCTTGGAGGCCATGCCGTTGCCCTTGCACTGGTGGAAGCGACCACCGGCACTGCAACTGACTATTCCGGCAGCATCCTGGCCGCGGTGTTGGAGAAGGTAGAGGGCGTCATGCACCTCGACCGAAGCCGATTGCGACTTGGGGTCGCCGTGGATCACAGCAATAATACCGCACATGTCGACGTGATGGTGGGGTGTGAGGGGCTTAAGAGCAGAAACTAAGGTTTATATGCTAACAAGACGCGTCAGTTTACGGTAACAATTCGGAAGACGCGGAATGTTTGTAAGTGGGGGGTGGTCTCTCAGGAAGTCGTTGTGCGCTCATTGGGAATCGCAAGTCTAACATCTTTATAATATGACAAGATCATCATAGGGACGGTGGGTAGACAAAAGACGAACGGGAATAACGTACCCTGAAGTTTTTCGCACGTCTCAGCAAAGAGGGGATATGGTGAAAGAAGAAGAGTTGATAGTGTGGCCGTTGGGCTCTAGGTGTAGCAGCAGTCCATCTACTCTGGCGGTGATGTGCTCAATGTGGGCGTCGTCGTCTTCGTAACGTCGTCGCGGGATTGTTGTCCCAGCTGGTGATGGCGTTCGGGCTCATGGTTATTGGAAGTAGGAGCTCTCTAGTGGGGAAGGGGCAGCATGATAAACAATTTTTTTCCTCGCCGCACCTGCACTCCCGCTCTTTGGGGCTTGGCGCCGTTCCCAAGCCGATGCCGCAACTCCACATCGTGCTACTTCCCTCTGGTACAACCAAACCCATCGTCGGAAAGCGAAACCCTCTCGGCGTCTACGCTCGCAGCCAAATGTTATGACAGGCAGACTTTGTTATTGGTAATGGTACCTGTATATTGCTTCCTTGATTTCCACGACTCGAGCCATGGTCTTTTCTATCCTTCCTGGATTTCCTACCCCTCTGTACAAAGCATCAATAGAAAGAATCTGCGTTGCACTGTGGTGCAACTGCTGCCTACTTCCAATCATGCTATCCCAACATAGAGAAGTGCATCAGCCCATGACAAAAGGCTGGAAAGGAGCTGTCCAGTGGCCCCAGCGTGAAACTAGATGGTAGAGTCGCGGCATGTGAGTGAGCAGGCAATGCCACTGCCTAGCTCAAGCGCTCTTCGCAAAACATGCTAAGAACACGCATCACCTACACCAAAGATCATGTTGCATACATAGCTCGACCGTCAGACTGTGGACGCCGCCTTGTCACTCTATTTGACTTCCCTGTTACGCGTCATCGCGAACAAGCCAAAGTTAACAGCATGGCTAACAATACCTACCTTGGTTACTAACGCCTCGTCCTGGTCTGGTAATTCTTTTGCGCACCAAATCTCGCCACAATCTCACCAGCAGCCACCACGTGAAAGCTACCATCAGTAACATACCTGATACAGAAAGACGCCCATCAGCACTTGGTCAAATACTAACCGCCCACCTTTTGAAGATCAAACCCATGATAATGATAAAGATGAGAGCGAAGACAGCGCTGCGCCTGAATCGTTGCCAACACCGCGCATTAGCCATTGTCTTCCCACCATGACGGCAACATCCGAACATCTCGAAGCTTTTGCGCCCTTGACCTGGGCCACACCGTACCTCACTTCCCCGAACTGGATTGCTTGCGAGCGCCAGCGAGGCACCGAACCAGGTGAAGATACGGACCGATTTTGCCGCGACACGATGCGCGTGAATAATGGCGTCCGACACTGGCTAGAGCTCTACGAGAAACCTGCGCCTGGCGCCAAAGTCACAAAATCCATATCTCTGATCAAATATGGTACCGGCTTGAACGGCTTCCCAGGCATCTGTCATGGTGGCGCGCTATTGACGCTCATGGATGAAGCAATGCTACACATCCTTGTCGCCAATACAGTGCTTGAAAACGGCCTTGGCTTTATGAAAGTTGGGGAAGACTATTGGAGGTTACAGCTCCATGATGGAAAGTCGGCACAAGAGGTGCTCAAGGGCCGATTAGCGACGGCAACAATGGACGTGAAACTCCTGGCGCCGGTGCTTTGCCCAGGTGTTGTCGGCATTGAGACGGAGGTACTTGAAGACAGAATCACCAAGATGAGGATGAAAGCTACGATGAGGGATCGACAGGGCAAGCCGTTACTCAAAGTGGAAGGATTGTGGGTCAAGATTCGCGGTGCAGCAAAACTATAACTGCGGGCAGCAATCTTGTACCAAATGTACCACGGGAATCAGACACACTTTTACAATAGTCCTCTACGCTCTTGTTTTTCCTCAAACAAACTCGAGTAACTTGCCACCAAACGTCTATCCCCATCACACGTGCGCAGGGATCCCGGTTGATTTCGCATTGATCTCGGACATACTAACCAACACGAGACCTTTAATCTATTGGTCCTTCCTGCAACGGCAAACCTCCGGGGCCAGTACCTGTAGTAATGTGTGCACTGTGCAGCATGTAAACACACATGCTACCCCTCTGACCTACCATTCGCCATGACGTCTGAGGTAACCTAACCCATCTAGCACCACACCTGCGAGTCACTGCATCAGACATCAAGGTCTTTGTATACTTAAGAGTAAAGGTGTATTGACATGAAGACTACATACACCATCAAATTGACGAGTTCTCATCACAAGTCAAGATGTATCCCTTTCTGACGTCTGTTTGTGCTCTCTCTACGCTACTTCCTCTAGCCATCGCCCAAACCTCTGGGACGTTCAATACTCTTACGTTCAATGTCGCTGGCCTACCTGCCCTTCTAAACGGCAACGATGTTCCTGGAGATAAGGAGACCAACACCGCCCGCATCGGCCAGCTGTTCTCTAAATATGACATCTCTGTCATCAACGTTCAAGAGGACTTCAACTACCATGCTACGCTGTACGCCAATGATGACCATCCTTATAGAACAGCTACAAGCGGGGGAGTGCCCTTTGGTAGCGGCCTGAACACTCTGAGCAACTATCCTTTTACAGGCTTTCAGAGAGTCAAGTGGAACACATGCAGTACTTTTGAGTAAGCCAAGTCTGCACAAACGCGGAAGACAGATTAGCATCAGTATGATACTAACAAGCACCCCTTGAACAGTAGTGCAGACTGTCTCACACCAAAAGGCTTCACCTTCATGCGCGTTAAGCTGGCTGAAGGCGCAGTAGTGGACATGTATAACCTACACGCCGATGCCGGGTAAGTCATCTTTACTCTTCCATAACTTTGAACCACCCACTCATCGTTTCATCAGTACCACTGCCGCGGACAACAAGGCCCGCGCGGCCAACCTCCGCCAGGTATCCGACTACATTAAAACCAACTCAGTCGGCAATGCAGTGGTCGTCTTCGGCGACTCGAACTCGCGGTACACGCGCACCGACGACATTCCTGACGTGTTCAAGACCGAGAATGGTATGACCGATGTTTGGCTGCAGCTTGTCCGCAACGGTGTTGCGCCCGCGAAAGGTGCTGATGCTCTGCTCTGCTCGAACCCGTCCACTACCAACACATGCGAAATCGTCGACAAAACCTGGTACCGTGGATCTTCTGCTTTGACACTTACGGCAAAAACATTCGACTATGCAGGTCACATGTTTCTCCAAGAGAACGGCGACCTGCTTAGTGACCACAACGGTGTGCTCGTGGACTTTTCCTGGAGTCTGGTCAACAGCGTCGCAGTCTCCGATGTCTTTGGCGGCGAAGAAGGTACGTGGTACAATGATCTGAGCACCGTCGCCGGTCTCGTCGGCCCAAAAGTTTCTTCAATTACGCTTCGTGGTGCGGAGCGCGTGGATGCAGTTTCCGTGACTCTGGCTTCTGGACAGACGCTTTCGCATGGTGGGACTGGTGGCACAGCGACTACTTTAACTTTGGCTACTGGAGAGACGCTTACTTCTGCGCAGCTGTGTCAGGGTCAGAAGAACGATAAGACCAGAATCTTCTATGCGCAGTTTACTACTAGCGCTGGGAAGACGATATCTGCTGGTGTCAAGACCAGCGACTGTGTGACGCGAACCGCCGATACTGGCCTCAGTATTGTCGGTTTCCTTGGTCGTTCAGGCGACGAAGTCGACCAGTTAGGTCTCATCTACTCCAGAGCTTAGTGGTAATGGGTTTCAAGTAGCTTCGCAAGTCAAATCGATGGAATACCTCATGACGTGATAATGTCCATTAACCTGGTCTCGTATCGTACATGATCATGAAATCTGTCTTCCACCTTCCAGAACGATGTGAATACAAAACAATAAAGAAGAAAGAAACAAAAGAGTATATGATCCTGAGCCTCCATACTAATGAAACGAAACATAACACTGTTCACCCATGGCGATACTTTTCCAAGACACCAAAAGAGCTCAGCTCCTTGGCCTGCTTCATCCTAGAGACGTGAAGCTCTAAGTGTAAATCCAATACTGTGCTTCATATTCCACAGTAACCACCTCTCCGGGAGCCATACCAGCACAAGATGCTGGGGCCATACCGCCGACGGTGTTAAGACGGTACACCATCTTGACATCGCTGCTCGAGCCCGTTTGTGCCTCAAGCCTCAACCATTTCACATTCTTGGTCGCGTCATCAGGCGCGGGTACATCATCAATCTTCTTGGCCACAGTGTTACCGAGGCCGAGAATATCGAAATCAGGCGTTGTGTTGTCGAGGAAAAAGTGCGCGCCGATGGATGCGGTCTCTTCGATGGAACCCAGAGAGGCGGTGCCAGCGGTAGGATTGGAAGAGAGTTCGCACGAGGCATTGAAGAGTTGGGCTACTGCACCAATAGACGAAGGAATGGCCGTTGCGTTGCTGCAGGTGTAATTCTGTGTGCCTTGGCCAAGGGCAACGAGGACAAGAGACATGTCGGCTGTTGGTGGTGGCAAGCTGGAGGGGGGTTGCTGGACGCCACTGAGGTCACAAAGGGGAGTTGTGGATTCCGTGGGCTCGTCAGGAGTGGTTGTGTCGACAGTGCCATTTTCACAGTTCTGACGAGGATAGAACGATGGACGGCGAGATGGTGCTGACATAGCGAAGGGAATGAGCGCGATGGTTGTGAAGAAGGTGGAAGTACGCATAGTGATGGCTGTTGACAACGAATGCTTTTGAGAGTTGATAGAATTTTGTGTACCGTGAACCCGTGGATAGGAAAGAAGATGTTGAGTCCCAAAATTAAGGCGAACACGAACGAGTGTAGAGCTACCAGAGCCTGAAGAAAAGACTGAAGAATGAGAAAAGAGGGTTTCTTGATATTAGCTGAACGACTGTGCTGGCTATGGTCCGATTAGAACGAAGAAGTCTAGACATATATATACAGTCTCTGTCTCTCTTTTCTCGGACCTATTCTGATAATTTTTACATGGATTTAGATTGCGAATGCAAGTGACCAGGTGTTCCAACGTTTGACATGTTCCTTAGGTCGATGTTGGTGTTTCGGCAGGATTGGGACACGTTGGGTCATGGATTAACGGTTGTAGTTGCCGTGCTGTTAGGCGGGAAGTCTCGCGTAAAGAGATGTGTCGCGAGTCAGGGTGGTTGACGGACAGTTGAAACGATCAATCCAGCCTTGCGGTAAAAGAGCGGTTGCAGCGTTCGCACAGACAGGCAACCCGTAGATCCATCGGCGCTTGCCAAGCTGTTAAACATCCTGAAGATCTAGTGACTCAATCAACGGTAGATGAGGTGGAGGAGATTGTGACATGTTGCGAGATCCGTGGTACTACGTGCCACGATCCTCCGTCGTTAAGCCTCAGGCAAGAGAAACGCTAGCTCCGTTGGGACGCGCCTGAAAAGAGCCGCAATCTCACCCTGACGCTGCGGCCTGGATACAGGAGCATCTGATCAAGGAAAGGTAGGTAACGATGCTGAAACGGTATCTGGGTACCTGCAGGACCTGCCACAGAGCCTGAAACGTGGGGAGGAGTCGGCGGGCCGAAGTGGGTAAGAAACATACAGTTCGTCTGCCATCACACTGAAACAGTCGTGACCGTTGCCCAACCACGCCGCAGTCATCGAGCAGAACCACAATGCTTTTCCCAAATGTTGGTGTTCACGTGTGCCGCTCGTCACCTGCAGGCAGGATGTCATTGCCCGTTTCCCCAGACAACGAACGTAAGAGAAACCCCAGACCGGTGTAGAAGGGAGGAGTTGTCCCGCATTAGTGCAAGACCATCAGGATGTCAACCTGCATGTCCGGGTTCGAGACCGTGCGATGGCCTCTCCCTAAATTTCTAAGGGTTCGTCGGCACTTGTGGCAAAATGCGGAGTGACGCGAACGGTATTCGTCCGGGTCGTACGTGACGATCGTGGCAGGACTCGAAAAAACGGTAAATTGCAATGTAAGATCTATCGGCGTTGCTGGAGATTCGGAGAGTCGCGTCGTTATGGTCCGAATCATAATACGACGGGCGTATCGTCGGCCCTGAGTTCGTCGCAATCGGATCGAGCTAGCGCTTTGCTCTTTCCGTAGCTCCGCCTCAGCCTACACGTGTGTGCACTACGCAACGCCTTTGTGTAATTACTGTGTAGAAATACGCTGCCTCAGTTCAACTGACATGATATTCTAATCATTCCCGAGGCAATCATGGAGCGAAGAGTCAGCCTCAAAGATCTTATCCGGAATGCTGGCGTCATACCCGTTGACCAGCGCCAAGCAGTTCTACCGGCCCCAACACAGCCGGCGGTGTCAGTCAGTGAGGAGGACATCTCCCAGGCCCGGAACATTCTACTTGATCGAAGAGCCAAGAACCCAGAAAGCAAGAATGTACTGAAAAACATCTTCAAGAGTTCGAAAGAGAAGGACAAAGGACAAGATGCAGGGCAGTTCTCGCAAGAGGAGCTTGACCAAGCTTTATCCGCCGTCATTCGCAGTCCAACGACAGGACCCGGCCTGATCCAAGCTTTCCTCACTCTAGGCGCAAAAGTCAATATCATCGAGACAACTGACAAGAAGAGAAGATCAAGCAACCAGGCCAACACAGCATTGCGACGCCGTAGCACGGTCTTACAGCAGGCAGCGAGTCTGAGGAAGGCTGATGGTGTCAACATCCTCGCTAGCTCCGGCGCAGACCAACAAACTTTGGACGAAGGACTGAAAGCTGCTCTCACTGCCAACGATCAAGAGAGCATAGGTCTGCTACTACGTCATGGAGCGGACCTGAACAACTTCCCCAACGCGCTAGCGAATGCGGTGCGATCAAACGACCTGAACTTCGTTAAGCTCTTGTTGAGAGCACCGAAGCCACTTCGGCCTCAGATCATTTCATCATGCCTGCCCGCTGCAGTTCAGCAAGGTTCAGATGCCATCATATCTTTACTGATTGCATATGGTGCTGATCCGAATTTCGACTCAGCAAGCGCTCTGAATATGGCTATTGGGAGACAAGCCTACAAAATAGCTATTGCTTTGGTTGCCGGACCGATACCACTAAACGAACCAAATCTCCAGCATGCGCTAGATACTACCATGCGGCTGCCCACACGCCAGGCAACGCTACAGTTCCTGCAACTCTTGTTCTGCTGTGGACTTCCCCCTGACAGTCGTGGTCTACCAGACTTTCTTATCTTTTTGGCGAGAAGCAACGACTCTTCTGGTGCGAAGATGATGGTCAGCTATGGCGTACCGACCACAACCAATGACGCTGAGTGTCTAAGAGAGGCCATAGAGAATTCGAACTGGGGCCTGGTGGACGTTATCCTTCAGACACCTATCGCTCCTCAGCATGCGACAGTAGCACTTTCTGTTTTGCCAACAAATACCCCGCAGTCGGATAGACTTCGCGTAGTCGACGCCTTGCTAAAGAAAGGCGCAACGGGTCTCGCCCTCAGCCCGCTACTCACACAAGCTACGAAGGAGAGAGACGCTCAGTTGATAGATCTCCTCCTTAGTGCAGGAGCGCCAGTCGATGTGAGCGACAACAGTGCCCTTCATTTTGCAGTGGTCAACAGAGATATTCAGAGTCTTCGATCCCTTCTCAACGCTCGTCCTCCGCCGGAAAGCCTGGCTAGTTTATTTCCCCTTCTTTTCCGTACCGACGCAATCTCGATATCTGAGCGGCGTGAGATCGCAAGATTGTTACTTGAGCATGGTGCACGCGGCCCCGGCGTTGATCAGGCTCTAATCGATGCAATTGCAGACACTTCGGCTGGACGGGATGGAGCTCTGATAACAGACCTGGTTCGAGGAGGGGCAAATGTTGATAAAAGGGCTTTGTCATTGGCCGTTACACAAGTCGACATGTCTCTTTTGCGATTGCTCTGCAATACCAGGCCCGATTCTTCGTCGACTTCGGCAGCCCTACCTCTGGCTTTTGACTCGCAGTCCAGCCGACACTCGAAGACATTCGAGATTATAGATTTGCTCCTTAGTCACGGGGTTGAAGAGGAGCCAGCAGGTCAAGCCTTGCAAATTGCCATCAACGGCGGCCCCGACAATATTGACATCATCGAAAGACTCCTTACTGCAAGCCCTAGATTACTGAGCACTGCTTTCAAGTACACTTCAGCGCTTCAAGATCCGCAGAAGAAAGCACCGATACTCGGTGCTCTTTTGAAGTTGGGAGTACCGCAGGACTCACTCGACCAGGCTCTTGTCACAGAGACACGACAAGCCATCACCACAAACGACACTACCAGTACTAAGTTGCTATTAGGACAAGGAGCATCTGTGAGTTACAACGATGGCGAGGCGTTGAGTGTTGCGGTAGCTTCAGGAAACAGCTCGCTAATGGTATTGTTACTCAGTGGACATCACCAACCATCACGATCTAGCGTCACGCGATCCTTCCGTACGTTATTTTCCAACGACAAGTTATCACTAGACGGGAGCAAGGAGAACATCGGTGAAATGGCAAAAGAACTACTGGTTCATGGCGTAGAACAATCTGCCATCGACGCTGCTCTACGATCAGTTCTTGGAAGCGACTACGACAGTAAGTACACGGACTCATGGGTAGATCTGTTACTCCAAAGTCATGCCGATGTCAATACGGTAGAAGGTTCATGCTTCGTCTTCGCAACACAAAAGCACAGTCACACCATCTTTGACAAGCTCATGCATCACAACCCCGATTTCAACATAGTTGTCCCAGCCTTGTTGAGTTCCAAGCTTCAAGACGAAGTAGTCGTTGCCGCAATACAATCATGCTTCGATCACGGTTGCACACTTGAAGAAGTCGGTATCGGATACAACAAGCCACCGATACTCATTACCGCCATGACTGTGTACCCACGCAATAGTGCACTCCTCACACTATTGTTGACAAACGGCTTAGACGCGGAGATTACCATCCCCATGGTTCTCCATTCGTCCAGCGGACCCGAACCCGTCCCCGCACTCTTGTGGGCACTAGCACAACCACAAAAGCGTATTTCGGACGCCGTTATCTCCGCGCTTCTGGAAGCTGGAGTATCCGTAACCCGAGTTTCTCCTATTTCGGAGACTACGGCGCTGATGCTCGCCGCTCGCGAGGGACGTCATGAGATAGTAAATGCACTAGTCGTGCGGGGTACGGATGCGGATCTTAGAGATGCCTGGAACAAATCCGCACTGTACTACGCTAGTAGCAGTTTGTCTGGGGAAGCCACAGTGAAGGCGCTAGTGCCGCGCGTGCTAGGGAACGATGGAAGCTTACACGAGGCGGTCAGACAACTCAACATCGAAGTCGTGAGGGTGTTGTTGGAGCATGCACATGATCCGAATTATCCCTCCCGTCTTCATGGCGGCAGAAATGCTCTAGGAGAGTTATGTCTCAAGGCAACGGTCACCACATCAGCACATCGCTCAAAGCTTCGCCAGCTTTTACGTCTTCTTCTGCGCAACCGCGCAAATCCCAAATTCCGTGCCCGTAACGAAAAGTCGACTGTTATCCTTGCGCTCGATAATGCCTACAGCGCGCTCCCCGTCGCTGAGGCCTTGCTGGAAACAGAAATATGGCAAGATCTCAATGACGAAGCCCACATCTACTGCGACCCAGCCTCAGGCCTCCACTACTCTCCATACTCCTACGTTGAACTCGTAGCCACACCTGCCCGCGCCCCTGTCAAACAGACCCTTCTTGACCTTCTGCGTGACAAAGCCTGTGTCCCAGTGTACTACTCCTCATCGGCACTTCAACCTGTCGGCGCTACGGGCATTCCACCCTCAATAGCCAAACTAGTCGACAAACAAAAAGAGCACGAACTCGACATACGTCACGAGAAGGAGAAGTTCGAGCACAGTCGCACGATGGAAGAGACCAATCATAAAGACATATTGAGGAGAAAGCGCGAGAGTCAAGATGTGGAGCTGGCATTGCAGACAAAGGCAACACAGCACTACACCGCTCTAGAGCAACAGAAGCATGAATTTGAAGTCCAGCGGGTGAGAGAGGCGGAACGCATGAAGCGCTCTGAGAGGGTAGCTTGGCATAATCTGTTGCAAGAACAAGAGCGCGATGCTGCTGCTGCGCGACAAAGTGCAGAGGAGAGGAAGGTGAGGGAGGCCATGGCGGTAGAAAGCAAGATGATTGAGCAGCGGAAATTGGAGCTGGAACACAGAGCCACTGTGGAGAGGAGGATGTTGAAGGAGAAGGAAGAGCACTATGAGAGGAATGTCAAGCGGCAGAAAGAGGTGAGACAGATTGAAGGAGGGCCACCACAATGGGGAACTGTTGATTAGTAGTGCTTCGTAGAGAAGTTCACGGTGGACAAGAACTGGGTGAAGTTGGCTGTGTCATAATGTCTCTCAATACTATGAAAACCAAACAAGAACAATAATGATGCAACGAATGCAGACCCATGGGTATCGTCGCGCTAAAACACCAAACCAAACCAAGCCAAGAAACCAAACTAGCTCCCCGCAAAAAACATCAACGCTCGAAGACGTCAATGATAAGAGCCAAAATAAACGCCGACGCTGAAGATGCAATTGGCCATGCTCTTGATATATCACCAAAACGGCTTAATTCCCGAAACTGTGGCGTGTGTAATGATGAAGGCGAAATCGTGTTATCTCCTCCTTCCTTTCCTCATGATGTTTTAGATATGTGCCGCCACAAATGACAAATCTTCGTAGTCCTCGTCGTCAAGGTCAAGTGTAGACATGTGCATAAAGTCCTCTTCAGCCTGCTCCAATGCCACCTTATGGCTGTGGGCAAGCTGCTCCCAACCCAGGCTGATTCCCGTGAGTTCCACAGCCGACATCTTAGGTCTGCCGGAGCCTTGCGTGTTCTGGATGTGGTATGTCAAGTCCTCCTGTTCGAGAACACGGCTTGATGTTTCTGAAGAGCTTTCAACAGATTCTGAGTCGTCGTCGGTGAGGCAAGCTCGCTCGTAGAAGGCCTGCTCAAAGATAGCGTTCGTCTTGGCCGTTGACTCTTTGCGCATGGCAGAGGATCGATCCATTTCCATCTTGGCGAACAGCTCCATCAGGTTACACCCGAACGCAACACTGTTTTCGCGCTTTCGTAGCCAATGATTCTCATTAACAAGAGCATCAAACATTGTCTTAGTCCTGCCTGGGACATTCAGCGGGTCCTCTTCTTCCCGAGGTTGTTCAACTGGAGCAGTCGTGTTCTCCATAGTGAGTTCAACATCGTGGCGTGAAGGCTCGTCTGCATTCGCCAGGCGCTCCCTGAGGGACTCAATCTCCAACATCTGCGTTCGGTCCAAGGCCTGGAGCTCCATAATCTTATCATGACGCCTCTCAAGCTCTTCCTGCAAAGCCTCAAGGCCTTCGGTCTTGCTGGTAGCATCCTTTATCTTGGCTAACAAATGTTCGATCTCGAGTTCCTTTGTAGCAATGACCTGTTCGCGCTCGTGGATCTTCAGAACTGTAGCGCGATGCTCTGCAGTAAGACTCTGTAGTTGACGGATTGCTTCGTCGTCTTTTTTCCGCGATGCCTCCACTTCTTTGGCCTTCTGGGCCCAGGGCGTAGGCCCGTGTTCGATTTCTTTGGTGTTGGCCAGTAGGCCAGCACGGTCCGACCAATCATGGAGATGAGCAGTAAGGCCGTTCAGTCCGGCAGTATAAAAGGCAATGGACTGGTCATTATCGAGATCGTCAATCTTGTATTTGATCTCGGCGATCTCACGAGCAGAAGCCGAGTCGTTGTCCGAAAGACTGGTGCATTTCGCAACCTCTTCGATCAGACCGCGAACAAATCTGGCGATACCTCCAGCAGCAGACGCCAACGCTTCATCGTATTTTACGGCGTCGTCGAGACCATAGGGAAATTGAGGATACATGTGGTCCTGAGCGAGAGCCTGCACGGTACGTAGCAATTTCGCGGCAGCGGTAAGCGCAGCTTGCGTGTTGTCCAGAGGGGTATTGAAGTGCTCCAACGTGTACTCGCATTCGTGGAGTATAGTATCGGGAACTTTCTGGAGGACGAACGTGGCGAGGTCGTACATGTACGCTATGTGTTCAAGTCGAGCATGTATGGAGACGAACAAGGAGAGCATCTCTCCTTCCGGTCGACCGGCTAGAACATCCTGATGGCTGGAAAGGATTGCCTCGAGAGTTTTGGTAGAACGCTCCAAAGATCCAGTAAATTCCTCAAAGTTAATAGTGTCCGCCTTCAATGCGTTCAGGCCTTGGTCAAGGACCTGCTCTACGGTGATCAATTCCTGGTAGGTTGGTCCAATGTTTGCAAAGTCTGAGAGTGATAATCCGCGAACTGCAGACCAGAGACGGTTGCTTCCGTCTTTAAGGACTTCTAGATAAACGATGGACTGGACACAAACAAGCCTAGATACAGCATCATCCAAGCGGCCACCGTTGCTCATGTGTCGATTAGTGCTTCTCAGCACACTGATAAGTAGGTCAGATTTCCCAGCGATCCTTTCTGTGGTCAAATAGGCTTGGAGAGATTCGCTCCGAGTAAATTCCTTGGACTCAGTCTCGTTCCAGATTTCAAGGCGCTCAGCGAGCTGGTCTGCCTTCAGCGATATGAGTGATGCTTCAATCTCCCTGGTGGTAGATAAAACAGTCGCTGCACGGAGTTGTCGGTTGAGATCCATGACCTCGTTGAATCGCCCGGTAGTGTCCTTTACCTGGGCTTCCGTCATGCTCTTTGAAGACTCAGCGTCGGCCATTCTGGCCTGAAGATCCATGACAAGATCGCGGAATTTTGAGATGAGAGATTCATGATCGGTTATGATGGCAGTTTGTTCTGCGATTTGCCGTGCTTGCTCAGCGAGCTCATTGTTCTTAGCCTCGAGCTCTGCAAGCATGTCCTCTTCTTGCTCTAGGTGCTGGGCTTCAAGCTCATCGTTAAGTTCTCGTAAGTTTTCGAGATCTTGCACCACCATGTCTTGCTCCGCGATTCTATCTTGGAGATTTTGATTTTGTTGTGTGAGTTCCTCCACCATGTCCTCCCATTCGTTTGCAGCGTCGAGCTGTTGTTTAAGGTGGTCGACAAGGTTCTCAGATGCGTTTAAGCGTTCATGAAGTGTGCCATTCTCTCGTTCGTAGAATTCAAGCTGTGAGATATCGCCCTCAAGGCCGAGAATTCTGGCCTTGAAATCCTGTTCGCGTTCCTCTGTCATCTCCTTAAGTGTTATCAATGCCTCCCTCAGGCGGTCGTTCTCGTGCTGAAGACGGTAGTAGCCAGCTTCTTGTTTTTGCTCCTCTGACATTTCTGTAGTAAAGAGCTCTGCCTCGTCTCGAAGAATATCGAGCTCTAGAGTGTGCTCTTCTAGTCTCTTGCGCAGAGACTCGATTTCCGCCTCCGCCTGGTCCGCCCTCTCCTCCGCCATTTCCTTGTCGACTAGAGCATCCTCTAAGTCGACCTCATGGTCCTGTAGTGACTTGTTGAGGGCTTCTAGTTCCGATTGTAAGGTCTTGAGCTTCTCCTTGTGTTCCTGAATCTCAGTATATTGTGACTGGCATTTGGTCTGCAGGCGCTGTATCAGGCCGCTGAACCTGTCCTTCTCGTCGCGAACTTGCGCGAATTCTCTCAGCCGTTCTTGGTCTTCCGCATGCTGCTTCTCCATATGTCTGATCGTTGTTTGTAAGCTCTCGACATGGCCATCCCGAGGTGCTTTCCCAGCGTTACTAGTGACTGAAGATCCCAGACTCGGTCTGGATGTTGAAGGTGCAGGGCGAGATGATTCAGGACGAGATGATTCGGGGCGAGTGGGTTCTGCGCGGGAAGACTCGGGTCTGGAGAATTGTGCGCGGGAGGACTCAGCGGCTGAATTGCTAGATGTGCTAGCAACGCTGGCTTTTCGAACAGGTCCACGCGAAGGTGGCTGTGATGCTGAGGGAGCTGCGACTGACTGTCGCTTGCTCAGTGTGGTTGTTCTTGCAGTAGTGGGCTTTGTAGCAACCACACTGGAAGGCCGAGCTCTGGGAGTGGTGGTTGGGGCTCTTGCTCTTGAAACTGCTCGTGGTGTGGGTGTAGGTGGGGTTGGTGTTGCCTCGGAAATTATAGTGGCTATGCTGGTGTCGCGAATGAAGAGACCGTGGCCAGGAGCGCACGTAAAGTACCGCTCTCCGCGAACTGAGCCATCGTTTTTGCCGTCAGGCGTAGGAAGCTCGATTCCGATAAAAGTGCCTTCTGACACATGAATAGCCCCTACGTATCTGACGACGCCCTCCTGATGACCCGTAGTCTTGACCGTCTGGCCGACCTTGATATTCAAGGCAGACATGACTCCTGAATGCTAGCCAGGAGCGATGCTGAGAGAGCCGGGTGGAGAAGGTGAGAACTGCGTGGTGGTATGGAGCAGTCTCGACGCGTCGAGAAGCAGCTGGGAGTGGGGAGGAGTGCAGTCGCGGACAACTGACTCAGAAAAGGTTTGGAGAGTGCTAAGCAGAAGAAACAGATATGCGACAATGCAGAAGTAACGGCTCAAAAGTGGTGCTGTTGTGGAAAGTGGCATTGAGCAGTTGCAGAAAGTGTGGTGTAGAGGAGAGGAGAGGAGGAGCGATGTGGCAGTATTTAGCTGAGCTCTGGGTAATTGCCAAGAGGGACGGTGATGGCTCGCGCTATTGGTGGCGATGGCTCGGACGAACGCCAGTTCGTGGGTGCGGCGGACACACCCGGCGCTAGCGCGTTGTAGGGCGCTTCCCACCCAAAATCTACGCGTTTTCTGACGTACAATCAGCCCACTCTACAACTGCCAGTCCCAATGCACTCTGGGTGACATCTGTCTGCAATGTGTCCTCGTCTTAGTGCAGGCAATAGTCGTCATGCATTCCGCCACTTGCCACATATGTCGCTCGCCCCAATTCAGAGCTTGAGCTGCTCTTCGCATAACTGCAGGAGATATCATACGGTCTGTAGGGGCGATAACACCAATAGCCAGACGCAGTTATTAGTTCTCAGTGCACGTTCGAAGGTTCTCTGTAGAAGATCTTTTTGGGCCTAGTGTACCCTTACATAGACATCACACTCCCTGTTGACTTGTCCGAACCTACCGTTGTCTCATCGGAAACAGAATCCTCTCGACTGCGTATGTCGTTACAACGACAAACTGGATACTAGTAAAGTCATAGGCTCTTGGCTTTACTTAAATGATCATATTCTTGTGTTGCTGCAGATCGTGCGATCCAAATAAAAAGCGATGGCATCTCGTTGTGGTTCTCTATTCCATGCACGTTCGTTCAATGCATGGTACACATACACACAACGCCCTTCAGATTCGACACAGCCGCACTTAGGAGATTTGCCCCATCACGCTTCCAATATCACTCATCGCGAAGCTTCCAATTCCTTGATCCTTTGCTCGATGTCAGGAACAGCTCTGAGCTGCAGGTCGATATCTTCTTTCTCACTGCCAGTATGTTAGCACAAGTTTTCGCCTCAGACGTAGTACTACTACTGGACTAAGGTAGAATTCACTTACTCTTCGAGTATTGCCCTCCTCTCCGCGTCGAGCCCTCCAAAATAGAAGCCGCCTTGACCATCAAACTGCAGTATCCTGGTGTGATACTTCCAGAGACTTCTACGGTGGCTGACTGTCATAAGGGTTATACCCAATCTTTTCGCTTCTTCGTACATGACTCTTTCTACTTCCAGGGTGACGGAGCTTGTGCATTCGTCCAAAATTGCGTACCGAGGCTTGTGGTAAAAGAGTCGCGCCATAGCGACGCGTTGTTGAAGACCGCCAGAAAGCACGTCTTCCCACTGCGCCTCTGCATCAAAGCCACCGGGGCGGTCGATAAGGGATTCGAGGTTCAAGGTCTCGAGTATGGAAAGAATGTCGTTGTCGGTAATGGATTTGGAGTGCATGTCATGTAGCGAGTCTGGATATATGATCTGTTGACGTAGCGTACCACGCGAGAGGTATGGTCGTTGTGGGATATAGAAGATGTCTTCGAATGGTGGCTTCCGTACCTTACCACCATATACAGGCCATAGACCTCCAAGGATTCGAAACAGACTACTCTTTCCACATCCGTTTGGTCCTACAATCAGTAGGTGATCGCCAGGTTTTACACTGAAGGAAAGTGCCCGAACGAGCACATCACCATTCGGAGATACTATAGGTACATCGATGAACTCGATATCGGCGCCTTCAGTTACGATACCACGACCGCGCAAAACGGATGCGTTTTCTTCGATGTCAGCTGAAGAAACAAGCTTCTTCTCGAAATGGCCGGCTTGGATATCATCGATTACATCGAGGAGGGTTGATACGCGTGAGGTATAACCAGCGAGTTCGGTGATTTCCTTGTACGAGAACATGACGCGACCAAAGGCGTCACTAGACATGAGGAGCATTCGGCGATTGGTTACGAAGCCTTTGGGAGTCACAATTGTCAGTAAGATTATCTCGCAACCTGGACAAGGGGCGGTATGGTTTGAGGGTACTCACTCTCCGTCCGATCCCCCATAGTCATGCCGCCTGTGCCTGGCACTTTGAAGAACACTGGCACACTGCAAAGCAACAGACCCAGAGCGCCCCAGAAGTATTTGATCACAAAGTCTTCCATGACTCCGTGATAGAATCTCCTCCTCAGTATCCGGTTGACATGCTTGATTAGCGTAAAGTATCCCTTATCCAAAGTATCCTTCTCCGCCTCATGCCCCGCATACAGCGCCACCTCCTCGCTCCAGTCGATTAGCCTGGAATGCTGAAACCTGAATTCGCCTTCCAATCTCGCTTCGTCTGCTACATATTTGCCGAACGGCGGGGTAAGCGCCCTCATTACGTTGGCCGAGATCTGAACTAGCAAGCTCATGAAGAACAGTCCTTCGCCACCGACGCTCCGCGATAACGAGTAGTTGTAGATTATGATGTCTAGAACGGGTTTGGCGAGATTGGAATAGAGTTCCGCAAGCGAATTGGAGAACTTGGAGACGTCAACAGTGATGAGTTGGTCGGCGTTTGCGATGCGGTCGTCGAGGGCAGAAAGCGTGTAGAAGGTCATCTGAGAGAGGTATTTGGAATGAATGTAATTCGTCAGGCGCGTTCGGTATTGGAGGGAGAGTTTGCACTGGTGGTAGGAGAGCTAGGCTTGTTATTATGTCTTCGGCTCCCGTTGCATGTTGTGCTTTGGCTGCAAGGTGTGAAGGTTGACATACCATACTGTTCGTAAACGTCGCTGGGACAGCCACAGCCATCCACCATACCAAACCTAGGAGAAACTCTCTTCCTTTGCCCCTCACGAGCGCACTAACCAATCTTCCATCCAACTCCGCGACGTACAGACTGATCATCGTCCTAAGCACCAAGAAGACGCTATGCCCGATCAAGAGCCTAAACTCCTTGCTCTTCCAACCAGGTATGCATATCTTCAGTAGTCTGAGCAGGTTCTTGAAGAACTCCCTGTTCAGCTCTACCTTCTTCCTGCCTGTTGCTTCGCCCTCGCCTGCTGTTGTCTTGTCCGCTGATTTGGAAGCACGCCGTAAAGAAGCGGCTTTCTGTTCGGCGATGGCATTTCGTATACGATTTATGAGGGCGACGAAGAGGGTAAGGTACACGGCGCGCGATATGCGTGTTCGGTGTTGGAGATACAGACGTGTAAGGTCGTTGACAATGGCTTTGGCAGACGCGCTGGTCAGGCGATGGGAAGAGAGAGGTTTTGAAAAGACAGCCATGGCTACCGTAGACGAGGCATTGGTGTTGTGCAAGAGGTTGACGCCGTGCGCAAAGCGTCGTGGCGTGGTCGTTCTTGACGGAAGATCTCAGTAGGTAGTGCTGCGAAACTTTGTACTACGATAATCTGACGGATGGTCTCCCCCGTTGCGCAACAAACCAGTAGGGTGCAGAAAGCCGCGCGCGTCCGGTTGTAAGGTTTGGTGAGATCAGTGTATCGCGGAAGGTAACGCTGTACAAGCGTCACCTGCGACATGTGAACGAATGCCTCGGCTTCCCCACAAATCGCCTAACCGTATCGAGACATAACCTGGGGAAAGCTTTCACATGAACGAAAGGAGCGTACATTGGTTTCATATGCTGGGGTAAAGTTGCACCTGATCACATGTGTTCAAGTGTTCATTTGGTGTTCTTGCAACGCCTATCATCGTTGTAGAATCGTTACAAGAGCGGATTGTACCAATCGTCTCTGCTGTCCCCCATAGCTGATATATAGAGTCATGACCCGCAACCATTCCCAGAACCACATTAGCCCCAAATCACGACTGGGTATCCTTGAAATTTCCAGTATGTGTCTTCGCTGTTTTTTCTGCTCCATATCCTGGCGCCACCTTGCCCGGTAGACCCTTAACAAACCCACCAATATCTAAGCCCTGCATCTTTTGCTGCGTAACCTGCATCCAACTCTGTTCTTGCTTCTTCTGCACAGCCTGCTCCATCTCCTCTTTTTCCTTCTCTTCATCGCCTTCTCCCTTGCTCCCTTCGTTCTTCTTCCTCTCTTCCTCTTCCTGCTTCTTCTCCTTCGCTAAATCAGCTTCGGCACGCTCTACTTCCTCGATGTCGACGTCTTCGAACCCGATCTTCCGAAGGATAGACCCGGTGATGAAGCGGTATTGGAGATGACCGTCCACGAGGTCGCTGACATCAACATTTTGGATTCCGTGTACGCCAACGACGGGCTGCAGACCTGCGACACCAAGCTGCATGGATGAGGTGCGATAGAGGAAGCCGAGGATGTAGTCTGATTTGGAGAAAACATTGACACAGCGACCACTTACTACAGAGCGGATGCGCCGCCAGTCGGCAACGTCAGATGGGCAGGGGGCGCCGACAAGAACCACGTTCTCGATGAGACCAAAAGCTTTCCGCTCTGCCAGTTTCTGGAGGCAGGAATAGATGACGCGTGCACCGAGAGAATAACCCACAAGGGTGACCGGCCGTTCGCCTTGTACCTTGTTGATTAGTGCTTCAGCAAGAACTTCGCCAGCCTTCTCAGAACGGTATTTCGCTACTGAGAAAGGATTGTCGAGCATAGTGGCAATCTTGAGCAGGCCTAGTGGCCACAATGCAGCCGTCATCGCAGCGAAAACAGTCTGCTCAATAATCTTCTTCTTCGCGTAGCCCCAAGCAGCACTGGTCACGAATGTTTCGAGGCTATGTCCAAGCTTGAGAAGCGCCTCAAGCTCCCAGCGAAGTGCGAAGCCTTCTGTTCCCTTGCTGATGTATCTCCATGGCTTTGATACTTCCTCGGGGGCGCGCAACCAACCAGAGACTGCAATTGCGACGCGCAGGCGGCGAGATTCATTGTCTTGATGCCTCGGGTCTTG